ACCTGTAAAGTTCAGCTTCACCAGCTTTTTTCCAGGCTGTTATTATTGAATTTGTGTAGCTGTAAATTTATGTTAAACAGCATGCACGATTTTGTAGCCGTGTCCACAAAGAGCATGTCATTCCTTGTGTTTGATTTCGTTATATATTCATGTTTGTCTGCTCGAGCTCCTGCCGTGCTCATACGACCTTGGGTGACATTTCCAAGCATATGTATTGAAAATTCTGACACTTCCCATTGTCAGACCACAAAGAAACACTTAAGTATTGAATCTTGCACCTCATTGGAGGAGGCACAATCAGGAACTGACCTTGGATACACCCTCCCCTTATATTAAAAGGGAAGATCCAGGACAGAATATGTTTGTGTACTTTTTGTGCGTCTTCGCCAACAACGGTATCCATAACCCACCCTATCCCAATTGCAATTCAAAACAAACGCAGCACATTTTAGCCTCGATTTATTGTTTTATTTAATACTGGTATTAGTTTAAAAAAAATTAAACAGATATTTGAACTTCTGAGGATTTGGGTTGGTTCATGATACAGTGGCTAGCTATCTGGTTTCAGTTTGTTGGCTTGTCATTTAAAAAAGTATTTTTCTTGGATTCATAGGGACGTTGTTAAGCGTTTTAGGCATATCGGATCTCATTAGCGATGTTTCACTCTGAGTCTGGCCTTCATTCCAACCAGAAGCGCTTAACTGCACCACTTTTTCAATTATTATAGGTTGCAGATTTTGCGGTAATACTGCTATAATTTAAACGATTGGAAGTTGTCTTCTTAAAGGCATTTTAGTGAAACAGAGTCTGCTAAGAGTTAGTATGTTACGGTAGCCTTAAATATTTAACCATATTTACTTGTCTAAATGAGATACAGGATGTTTTATAAGTAACTGGGTTGTAATGAAATAGCATCTTAAATCATTTAATTTCAAAGCTCATATATTTTCCAAACCTGTATGACTCGGTTCTTTTGTGCAACACAACAGAAGAGGTTTAGCAGAATTTTCAAGCTGCCCTTTTCCTTGCAATAAAATACAGGCAGCCGGGGAGCTTTAAAAAGGACAAAAAGGCACAATAAAATATGATCAAATTAGTTTAGTACATTGTCCTGAGTGCTTTGTTCTCTTTTACAGTAAAAGTGAATGGAGACAAACTCAAAAAATGACAAAAAGTCACTATGAAAGTGGTTGATGTGTCTTGTGGTGCACAATATTTCAAATCTATTTAAAACTGTTTTTTTTACAAATATTAATTTACCAAATAAAAACATTTGTTCAGTTTTAGTTTTTATTTGTTTCCAGTATTCTTTGTGCTTCAACTTTTTTCAGTTAGTTGCCAACATTTCTACTTTCCTTAAGTTTAAGTTTTTCATCTAATACATACTAAACTTATTTCAGATTAATTTCAATTTACAAAAACGTTTTTAATAGTTGTAGTAGTTTTAGTTAATGATTCCAAACAACATTGGTCCTTACATGTTTGTAACCAATAACATAAATATGAACTACTTTATGGAGTATGTATTTTATTAAATGAAAAAAAAAAAACAGCGTAAACATTCTTCATAATCATTGGATCAATCAAATCAATCAAATCAGTAGATTTGGAACAACATGAGGGTGAGGAAATTATGACAATTAAAACTTTCTTTAAAGAAGAGCTTCTTGGTATGTATACATACACACACATATATATATATATATATATATATATATATACACACACTTCATTGAACTCTTATTACCTAGTACAAAGCAGTTTTTTCTATCTGGGCCATGTTCCATTGGCCGTTTCGATGAACTGCGAGCGGAGGTATTGTTACAAATTACTCTTGGCAAAACGGCCTATCATTTATGACAATAAGAGGTCATTTTTCATGTCTGAACTTCTGTTTGGGCTGCATTTCTGATCCTGTGTAATTATGTCTCTGTGCTTCAGAATGTGGAAATTTAATCGCCAAACGGCAGCAGCAGAAAAAGAGTTTTAGAGGAACTGCGACCATTTTAACAGGACAACATGTTTGAATTAGATGTTCTAGCACTGGCTCTAAATGGATTTCTGAAGTGGTTGTTTGTGAGGATTTTCAATCGGACGTAACCTTGAGTCTTTTTTATGGGAGGTCCGTTGGATTTAAGTGCTGGTATAGCATGAAGAGCCTGAATACATGCGTTTCTCTCTCCATCTCCCTCCATCTATCTCGTTCCCCCTCTCCCTGCCTTCATTTCTCTTCTCTCTTCCCTCTCTCTGTCTGTCTGCCTCTTTTTCTCTCTGAAATTGAAAAATCTGCCTCTGAAGTTGTTGCCATTGTCTGAGTAATTAATGGAATGCTGAGAGCGAGGTCCAGGTGCTTAAAGAGTTTTTTTTTTATCTCTCTTTTTTTTCCTTTTTCCTCATGACTAATAAGGATAGAAAATACACATTAGTGCTTTTGTGGTCCTTCTTTTTTTATATATATAAACTTATGTATAATACATGCATTTAAATGAAAGGACGGTGACCTTCGGTGTGTTCCATTTCAAACCCACCACATTTGTTTTGCATGTTGAGGTGAGGTTTAGCATAGCAATCTAACTGCTCCTATTTAATATGCATCTATTAATTCGTCCATTTCAGTAGTTGGGAAGTTTGGGTCAAGGCCTCCGAGCAGTATTTTAAGCTGAGCTAAAAGTTTCTCGCTACATAACCATGGTATGATGTCTAATTATTGATGGATGCTGATTATTTATGGGCCTTTACTGTTTGTATCAAAGACACAGGGCTGATATTATTAAATATGTACACTGTAAAAAATTATATGATCAATAAGTTATGACAGCATATATTTCAGCATATATTTTTACATTCCTTTAACTAACTTATCAAAATAAGTTAAGTAGTTTTCAGCTTTATACAAGATTCAAAGTCAGTTTAATGTAATTTGAGTTGATTCTACTTAAAAATTTAAGGCAGCAACTTTTTTTTTCTTTTTTTCTTCTTTTACAGTGACGAGGTTGTTAGCTGGACTTCATAATTAATGATATGTTAATGAATATTACAATTACGGTTAAAATTCCAAATTCTGTCACTTTTTACTGACCCGTGTGTCATTTCAAACCTGTGAAAAGGAAAGTCAGTTGGGTCCAGTGATGTTGTTTTAGTCCCCATTGACTTCATTCTATTGACAAAAACACAATTTTCTTATTTTGTTTTCCACATAGAAAGAAAGTTATAAAGGTTTGGAACAACACGAGAGCGAGTACATGACAAAATGTTAATTTTTGGCTGGACTGATTCTTGTAAAAAAAGAAGTGTGCTTAATTGTATTGAATGTGCAGGGTAATTCAAATCTTAAAAAGTATTATTTAAAAATAAATCATATAATATTAATTAAATAAAAGACCACTTAAGTGTACTTAAATACTTTTACTTTCGTGACTGTTTATTAAAATACTCAAGTACACTTTTAGAAAGTTAGAAAGCACTTTGTAATAATGACAAATTAAAATCTTAACTTTGAAGTACATTTGAAGTACCGATAATTCTTTATAATTATTTGAAAGCCGATAACCGATATATTGGCCAAAGTTTTTATATAATCTTTGAGAGCCTGATTACAAAAACAAAAATCTCACCATTAAAAGCCGTGTCCCAAATACAAAATTATGTTCTCATTATAATTTTATCTAGCCTATATGACTTGCGCTTAACTGTATTTTCATTTTTGAAGTGATTCCAATCATATTTCAAGCAATTAAAATCCATCATGCTGTAACAGTGCGCATCCAAAGTGTCTCAGCTGAGGGAAATAATCCATTATTTATCGGCTTTAATATATCGGCCAAATTTTTTTTCCGGGCCGATAATGATAATATTACAAATGAATATACAGATACAGATATGGTGGCCGATAATTTTAAATGATCTTTTGTCATGCTACTTAGTTACATAATCATTGCATTGCGAATTGCAAGTATATTTAAATACATGACAGAAATTACATTAAAGTCTTTTAGTTTATCATAAATGCTTATTGATATATTCGGCAGTACACTTTAACTAATATTTCAACAACAATATATGACATTACATATAAAGATTAAGTCCCACTCAAGTGGTAAAAAAATTCAACTAAATGCATTTAATATAAATTTAAACTGATATTTTCATTTTAATTGCAATTCACAATTCAATTAAGTGTCCGAATAAAACATTCAGTTTGCTCTTAAGTACAGTTTATTATTTTATAGTATATTATTTCCAGAATAAATTATGCTAAAGTGTACTTCTTGTTCACCAGGGTCTGTTTAAGCGAAAAGTGTTGATTACGGCTTTCATTCCATTGCGTTTTACTTCCAGGATATATTTCCTCATCGTTGTGGTGAAATAATCCAGTCTTAATCTCTTGTTGTCTGTGACTGATAGCGTATTGATGGATTGAAGCGGTCTGAATGAATCTGCCACAGTCTGTTCTCACAGTCTCTCAGCAAGGCGCCTCTCAAAATGAAGGGCTTCAGCAAGTCGTGCGGTCGTGTTGGTTTAGGGCTCTTGCCCCGAATATATGCTGTCTGCACAGTCTATTTTAGATTTACAGTAAAACTGCTCAGATCTGTTTCTGTGAAGAATTTGGTACAACTCAGTCAATTTTGCTGAACTGAACAATATAATGTGGTAATGCCGTTTTTGAGTGAGAATAATGACATTTTGATTCGGTTTATATATAGAGAAATATCTATCTAACAATGTGGAAATCATATTGTTGATATTACATTAAACGTTTGTTTGGCCACATTAGGAATTGTGGTTCAAGTTCAAGTAATTGCATTTAATATAAATTTGAACTATAACACATTTTAATTGAATTGCAATTGCCATACAATTAAGTATCTGAAAACATTACATTCAGATCCCAGTTTGAATATTCTTTTAAAATATATTATTTTCCTAAAAAGTGTAACTCTTTTTAAAAGTAAAAGTGCACTTCTACTAATTTCTTTTTTTCTTATTTCTTATTCTTTCAGGAGAACGTAACGAAACCTAAAAACAGACTTCCAAACGAATGCAGTCTGAATGTACCCATGGAGGCCGAGGGAATGTCACCTCCTCAGCAGAACGCCCACATGTGTCTTTATTGAAACTTCTCTACATCTTGTGTTTTGGTAAAGTGCAGATAGTCTGTAAATGATATCTTTAAAGGGTTAGTTCACCCAAAAATGAAAATTCTGTCAGTAATTACTCACCCTCATGTTGTTCCAACCCCGTAAGACTTTCGTTCGTCTTCGGAACACAAATTAAGATATTTTTGATTAAATCTGAGAGCTGGATCACTCCTCCATAGGCTTCTTAAGGGATCGAAACTGATCGGCCCAAAAGTTATGAAAGACATTGTTAAAATAGTCCGAGTGACAACAGTGGCTCAATCTTAAAGTTTATCAAGCGACGAGAATACTTTTTGTGCGCAAAAAACAAACAAAAATAACGACTTTATTCAACTATTCATTTCCTTCTCTGTGGGCCGTGAGATTTCACGTAGTGATATTGCGCAAAGCTTCTGTGTTGCACGTCACACGCAGGCTCACTATTGGCCGACGCTGGTCATGTGACGTGCAACACAGAAGCTTTGCGTAGTTTCACTACGTGAAATCTCACGGCCCACAGAGAAGGAAATGAATAGTTGAATAAAGTCATTATTTTTGTTTGTTTTTTTTCGCACAAAAAGTATTCTCGTCGCTTGATAAACTTATAGATTGAGCCATTGTAGTAACTCGGACTATTTTAACAGGGTCTTTTATAACTTTTGGGCCGGCCAGTTTCGATCCCTTAAGAAGCCTATGGAGGAGTGATCCAGCTCTCAGATTTAATCAAAAATATCTTAATTTGTGTTCCGAAGATGAACGAAAGTCTTACGGGGTTGGAACAACATGAGGGTGAGTAATTACTGACAGAATTTTCATTTTTGGGTGAACTAACCCTTTAATGTTTCAACATATTGTGTACATGCTTTGAAGTGAGCAAACTACAATCTAAATATGTTCATTTGTGAAAAAACTAACTTAATGCTTTGAATGTTTTACTGAATGTTTACTCTATTTTGTACAGGTTTCATCTTGAATAAGCTATAGCGATTCTTCAGTTTATTTCTTTTTAGTTTGTCTGCACGCTATATGTGAATGAGAGTGTAGCAGGATCAGGTACGTGTTCTTCTGCGTATGTTTTCTTGAATCTGATTAGAAATCTGAATATTCTCTGTATCAAGTGTGAATCTGTTCATCTTTGTATCAGGAAGAAACTGTTGTTCACTGATCATGGATTATTGCCAGAGATTGAAATAAAATGACGACTGTTGGCATAATAGTCATTTATTAAAATATGATGGAAAGATTCCAAGAGCTTGTATGGAAACTCTTTATGGCAAGAGGTGACATCAGAGATGCGGGCCTGACTGCGGCTTCCAGCGCACAAACAAGAGAATCCCAATCCAGACATTCAGGCAGGTAAGCAGATATCCAACGCAGCTGCAGGACTTCCGACGATGGGGAACAAAATGGGAACGAGGGGCACTGGATTCCTTTAAGATTGTCGGTCTGATCACACACAACACAGTAGAGTCACAAAACGAAGCAAATACAAATCAGTTTCCCTAGAATCGATAAAGAAGTGGCTTAATGTACAAATGGGGGCGTAGATGCCATGCAGCAAATGTCGATCAAAGCAGTTGTGCTTGTAAAAAAAACTTTTTACACCATTGTTGTCTAAAAGAATTTACATCGATAAGGTGTGTAACATGTCAGAAAGATCCCTATCCTTAAAAAAAAAAAGCATTTGATGATTGGGATATCAAGTCACCATGGTGGTCGTTTTCACTGCTCTTTAAATCAACACATGACATTTAGCTTCAGGTGTTACAACAGTCACCTCAGCTGTGTTTTTTACTGTGTTGATACTTTTTGACCTCAGATTCAGAAAAGTCAACACGAAATGATATTTACGACCCAATTTACTTCCTTATTGTGACATATTTCCATGTGCAGCAGGTTATTCAATCAGATCCATGTAAAGTGAGACATTTTGGTTTTAAAAAGTGTCCGTTACATGCCAAAATGGAGCTGAATGTAAGTTTATAATGGATTGTGGTAAACTACTCCCTTTATAAAACCACCAGCACCCACTTTTGTGGAGATTTTATGGGGAAATGAAGGTCAAGTTTGTTTAAAAAAAAAGCATCCTGATGCATGATAATAGTAAGGTTTCTATTATTACAGTACCGTTTATTATGTAAATTTTAATCTTAATTATTTACTGCTTTTGTTTTGCTTTAATTTGTTTGTTTTGCTTTCGTTTGCTTTTGTTTTGCTTTAATTTGTTTGTTTTGCTTTTGTTTTGCGTTGCTTTCATTTGCTCTTGTTTTGCTTTCATTTGTTTGTTTCGCTTTCAATAGTTTGTTTTGCTTTCATTCATTTGTTTCGCTTTCAATTTGTTTGTTTTGCTTTCATTTGCTTTTGTTTTGCTTTCATTTGCTTTTGTTTTGCTTTCATTTGCTTTTGTTTTGCTTTCAATCATTTGTTTCGCTTTCAATTTGTTTGTCGTGCTTTCGTTTGCTTTTGTTTTGCTTTGTAATTGAATTCTTAACATTATTTTCTGCCCTATAATGGCAGTTCGATTACGAAGAAAAATCTTTTTGTGTGAAATAACACGCCTTGATAAATTGTGCATAAGACCAAGATAGTGTATTAAGGAAATAAATTGGATTCATTTTGATTTCATGTTGACTTTAACACCAATTTTTTATAATGCAGTTAAATGAAGGCTTCAGGAAAAACAACGGCAGTCCCCAAGTATCAAAGCTCTCATCCGTTCATTGTGAAGCAAACAGGTAAGTACAAGTGAAGGACAGACGCTGTCTTTGGTATAGAACACAGACGCTATCATGAAAACATTCATTGAAATCTCACGATAGAAAAGATGCACCAGTCAGTCACACCAGATCACTTCAGTACAGCTCTTGATATTTTACAGTGGCAGGACTGATGGGTGTTTAATGTGAATCACTCAATCACCATTTAACTCCATAAACTGCATCTCGTATCTACATTTTTAAAAACGTGCTACAGTAAACAAATACATTTAGTCATGACCCCACCGCACTGAGCAGGAACACATGGATGAAACCAAAACAATAAATTAAGCTTAACCAGTGACGTACATTTCAAACGTAGAACGTAAAAACAGGTGTCCACAGAAACAAGCCAGCACAATCAAATAAAAAAAAGAAGTAAAAACTCAGTATTAAGTGAGATTCCTCTCTGATTTAGTGTCTCACGACATAATTAAGTACTGGTCAAGAAAGATGAAAACTGTACACACCTAAGAAAGCAAACAAGAGGAATATAATCTTTTCTGAACGTTTTGTTTTCGTTTTTATATGAAATCATTGCTTTGCAATTGAACGCATCACAGTTATCTCCCAGATGAATGTAAACACCTCTTATTTCTTTTCAATTGTATAACATTAATACTTTATATATATATGTACTTTTTATTTTACATATCGTAATTCACATCAGCACGGTTAGCTAGCATGGAAATGAAATAAGGCAAGACTCACATGACTGTGACATCACAAATTATTAATACTGATAGTTAAGGTTGTTTTTTTCTTTTTTTCTTTGTTTTTTTGTTCTCTGCAGGCTTTGGTCTTGTGTTGACGGAGGTGGCATTTCTTCATCCTGGCTCTGGGACTGCACTTTATTTACATTCACATTTGTTGATGAACAAACTGCAAAATGTTACAAAAAAAGGTGTGTTGTGAGGTAAATGTTTTTAAGCATTTTTTCCCAAATCAAAGAATTAAAAATGAGAAATTATTTTTGGGTTATATCTTTGTAATTAATATGTAAATAATTAATATGTATGAATTATTATTTAGCATTTTTACCACCCGAAATTCCGTTTTATTACGAATGAGCTATTTAATTTTGTATTAGTTATGTCATGATAATTTACCTAAAAAAAATGATCAATTATTTTAATAAAATTAATAATAGAATTGTAAACTGTTAATTCTTATTTTCATGACAATTTAGCATTTTAACTCTCAAAATTCTGCTTTAGTATGAATCATTTACTTTTTAATAATTATGTCATGACAATTCAGCACATGTACCTCCAAAATAAATTTTTATTATGAATTACTTACATTTTATTTATTACCTAATTTACTATACAATTTAAATAATTCATCATTTATTTATTTATTTATTGCAATGTTGGTCCAAATATTAGACATCGTTTTCTTTAAGCAAAATATAATTTCTCATTTCTTTCTTATGATTTTGAGATGAAATAATACCCGGACATGTTCTCGACAGGATTTGTGATATTCACCCCTTTTTCCACTTTTGGAGAGAAAACATTGGCAAAAAGCAGCCTCAAAGTGACAAAGAAGAAGAAACGACTGCCAATTTAAAAAACAAAAGAAATGCGTTGCGTCGTTTTTAGTTTTTTTTGGTGAGGGGTTGTGGAATAAAGTCTTTGTGGTTTGCGCAGGCGATGGCTGGTTGTCCGTCTTCCCTCCGCCAACTGGCTCTAGCCCAGCTTGTGTGCCTTAAAACAGACAGAGGAGGGTCACATGGCCAGTCCTAATGGAAACTTTGGGTCAATGCTGGCAAACCAGTCTTAAAAGAGAGCCCAGTTCCTTCCTAGTAATCCAAAACCCTCCACCTTGAGTCTGAGTGTAAAGTGGACGTTTCGATCAGCTGCACACAGAACAAATATCGACTGACAGTCATGGTTCGACAACACTACAACAAATCCGCGGCCTAGAGGTCATTATAACACTTCATTTCATTTCTTTTCAGAAATGCATCTGCCCTTCGAGCCAAACCGCTTTCAGGTATTACCGTGCCCTCTCCATAAGATCCAAAGTGTCCGTCCCACCGCAAACCCATGCGCATCTGGTCTTTCGAAGGCTATGTCTGGTGATGACGCTGGGAGCAGTGCGCGCGATGTGTCGAGACGAGAAGGTCCTCAGGCACGTTTGGCGTGCAGCATCTCTATGAGTAGATTGTTGCAGGGCACGTCACCGTTCAGGTGTTTGTAGTACAGGTACTCTTCGGCCTGCAGACTGATGGCCCGGATCTCCGGCAGCCGCAGCAGAAGCTGGCCGAACTTGTCCGTCTGCTGTGGATAGTTGCACATGACGTAGTCCAGCAGCGCGGCGTTGACCTGTTCCTGGACGCTCTCCACCAGGTGGAAGTTCTCCAGGTTCTTGACGTCTGAAAAAAAGATGAGATAAAGACCATTGTATAGTTACTTAAGGGCGTTTTTTTCACACCAATAGATCGGCTGACTTCATTTGTTACAATGTTTCACTTTCTTCTTGGTACGGTTCGTTTTCACAAGGAAACCATTCAAAGCATACCAAAATGTGTTTATGTAAGTCACATGCGAGTAAAAATGTCCTCTTATTGGTCAGTTTCCTCTGCATCATCCATCAAGATGATTGACAAGTTCGCTCCATGAGCTTATTGTGGCTTATTTGTACCTGTCGACAGACGCACGCAAACACTATATGGATGTAGCCGCCATTACCACATTATTATATAGCCTATATAATGCCGTTAGAGCGGGAAGCAAAGCTTCGCCAGGACAGCATTCTTGAAATGCACGGAGAAGAGCAATTACATAACATTTTAAGATGAAGAGGCGCTCTTTGGTTTTCAACTGTGATAACTAATGCACTCACTTACAGAATCAGACACTGCTGCTTTTTTATATAACACATTAGCCGTTATGAATTATGATACTATGAAGTATGATACACACCAGGTTCAGAAACAAAGGCTACAAAGCCATTTGTGAAAGCAATGCAGCCAAAAGTTTAGAAAAATTCTGATTTTTTAAATGTTTTTGAAATAAGCCCCTTATACTTACTAAGGCTGCATATGTATATGTGTATACATGCATATATATATATATAGTTACTCTTAGTTTTTCCATCAGACTTTTTATGCTCTAAATTTGGACATTTTCCTTGTCCTGTCTTTAATTTATGGTGTGCTAACGTGTTGAGATGAGCTGCATGTGTTCTTGTGTTTCAGATGAGGGTGTAGATGATCTGTGGCGGCAGGAGCTGCTAATGAATCCCTGGCGTGTGGCTCTATTTAATCAGGTTTTGAGGGGCCACCTCATGTGATCTTTTATTTATCCCTTTGACCCGGGGTTGAACGGGAGCATGGTCATCCCGCTCTAGTCCCTCCTAATGGAGACTGCTGGGGTCCGAACGATTGTGAAAGCACTCGGACCCACCCAGCCATATCTAATGAGCCAGCTGACACTTCTCTGGCTGCTCTCTTTTTCCCTAAAAATAATCGAGACTGCCTTGGCCGACAAAAAAGAGGGGAGGGGGGGAGAAGGGGGAAGTGACTGTAGCAGCAGCAATGTAATGAGGTCTGTAGAACAAGCTGTGAGTCCTTCATGGCGCTGGTGAGGATGTTTGACCCCTGGGTGACACCAGCAGGCACAATCAGGACACGGGGTGGGGGAGGGGTTAACCAGAAGATGACCAATTACAATTCTCCAGCTCCAGACAATTTAGCCCTTGTGGAAAGAAGTAAACAAACAATAAAGTCTATATATCTATCTGTCTGTCTGTTGTTCTGTCTGTCTGTCTATCTGTCTGTTGTTCTGTCTGTCTGTCTGTCTATCTATCTATCTATCTATCTATCTATCTATCTATCTATCTATCTATCTATCTATCTATCTATCTGTTGTTCTGTCTGTCTGTCTGTCTGTCTATCTTTCTTTCTGTCTGTCTGTTTATCTATCTATCTATCTATCTATCTATCTATCTATCTATCTATCTATCTATCTATCTATCTATCTATCTATCTGTCTGTCTGTCTGTCTGTCTGTCTGTCTGCCTGCCTGTATGTCTGTCTGTTGTTCTGTCTGTCTATCTATATTTCTTTCTGTATGTTTATCTATCTATCTATCTATCTATCTATCTATCTATCTATCTATCTATCTATCTATCTATCTATCTATCTATCTATCTATCTATCTATCTATCTATCTGTCTATCTGTCTGTCTGTCTGTCTGTCTGTCTGTCTGTCTGTCTGTCTGTCTGTCTGCCTGTCTGTTATTCTGTCTATCTATCTATCTGTCTATCTGTTGTTCTGTCTGTCTGTCTATCTTTCTGTCTGTCTGTTTAGCTATCTATCTATGTGTCTGTCTGTCTGTCTATCTATCTATCTATCTATCTATCTATCTATCTATCTATCTGTTTTTCTGTCTGTCTCTCTGTCTGTCTATCTCTATCTGTCTGTCAGTCTGTCAGTTGTTCGTTCTATCTGTCTGTCTGTCTATCTATCTCTATCTGTCTGTCAGTCTGTCAGTTGTTCGTTCTATCTGTCTATCTTTCTATCTATCTATCCGTCTGTCTGTCTGTCTGTCTGTATGTCTGTCATTCTGTCTGTCTGTCTGTCTGTCTGTCTGTCTGTCTATCTCTATCTGTCTGTCTGCCTGTATGTCTGTCGGTCTGTCTGTTGTTCGTTCTATCTGTCTGTCTATCTATCTCTATCTGTCTGTCTGTTTATCTATCTATCTATCTATCTATCTATCTATCTGTCTGTCTGTCTGTCTGTCTGTCTGTCTGTTGTTCGTTCTATCTGTCTGTCTATCTATCTCTATCTATCTGTCTGTCTGTCTGTTTATCTATCTATCTATCTATCTATCTATCTATCTATCTATCTATCTATCTATCTATCTATCTATCTATCTATCTATCTATCTATCTATCTATCTATCTATCTATCTATCTGTCTGTCTGTCTGTCTGTCTGTCTGTCTGTCTGTCTGTCTGTCTGTCTGTCTGCCTGGTCTAACAACAATAAATATCTCTTATTTCAGAAGCTTTTTTTTTTTAACTGAACGAACAGATTCACTGAACTTCCAAAAGTTACTATGTTTTCTTGCTCCATATTTCTGCGAGGGAACCGTGCTCTGTCTTTCTCAGACTAATTATAGACATTACAAAAAAAGTCAAATTATAATTGCTTATTATTGTGGCCACGTTTGAACATTAAAACCGAAGCATGGGGAGGGGTTAAAAGAGTCGACTGATCGATGACAATGGCTTGATCTCTTTCCCCCCGAGCAAAAGAGAGGCCGGTTGCGAGGAGAGAATTAACATGTTTGTTTAATTTATCCGCCACGAGAAACGCTTAATCATGCCCTGCTGACAGAGACTGAAAAAAGCAGAAAAAAACGTACAAGCAGCAGTTATCTAGTCAGGTTGAAGCATCGCATGGTAAGCACTCTTATTTTCTATCTCAACATTTAGCCACTGTGGGACTAATTATCAACTTTTTCTCTTTTTTTTTTCTTTTTTTTCATGAAACAGCCTTAGTGTGCACTAGGGCCGGGATGTAGCCTGCCTCTAAACCCTTAGGTCCTGAGGAATACATTGTTCATTTGACTAGCGCTCATGCTAGACGACCCCACATATCCACTCGCAGACACCCCCAGCACCACCCCTCGCCCTGTGATATGCTGGGACTGTTCTTAATTAGAAAGGATTTTCTAAGTGAAAAAAGATCATTCCACGAGAAATTCATGCCGGCAACCCCCCAAAGCCCTCGCGAGGTTCATTTGTATACTGGCATGGATGCACAAATATAGCCAATCTGTATTCGCCATACAGTATGCAAACTCACTACAGTAATGGCATATTGATTACAATTTGTTAGTATGCATACTGCAAATGAAGATATACAAGGATATGGAATTTCACCTCTAATTGTTTAGTCAATGAGCAATTAAATCATAATGCCAAATCTGAAAGGCAAATGATGAATCCATTGATGTTCCTAGCAGGCCAATGTCAGTGTAATGAATGACTTCCTGTTGGAAGCTAATCAGAAACAAATATTCAGGACGGTAATGTGTATTTGCAAAAGTTTATGAGTCTTTTGGAGCAAAGTGTGTAGTTTCAAAGGGCAAAATGTCTCCCTTTGGCTTTACAGCATGCTGTAATCATATAGTCAGCCGAGCCAAGCATGTCAAAATTTCATCTTTATTCATCATTAACTTCTTCCAGATTCGCACCAATCAGGAAACGGGGCGGTGCATGAACTCCGCTGACCTCCAAACACCACCGTTTCATCTAAACCAGCCCCTGAAGCTCTGCTCATGGCCAATGTCCACCTGGTCACTGGTGATAATATTTACTCAATGTGTTTTACTTTTGTTTAGGTGGTTTGGAAGTATTTAAATACTAAATCATTCGCAGTGGTGATCCGTTCAAACTTTATTCTCTTTAGCGCATCATAATGTTGCATATCAGTGAGCTCATCGGTTGTTTCTCCGAGGTTTGTTCTTCCTGACTGAGCCATGTAAAGCCGGGAGAGACGTGAAGGGCTCAATCTGCTCGTCCCTGGTCACCTCTGACTGCTATGAAAGGGAATCAAACAGGACTGGTACAGTTGGGGATATATTAAGTCAAATGTAAGCCCTTCATAGAGGCGCTGAGCAGGTAGAAGAGACGTCCCATTCGCCCAAGGATGGCTTTGACGCCGCACACTCGATGCAGGGAGGGAGGGTATAAAACGCCTAAGGTGTAATGAAATAAACACGAGAAGCTGGGGCAAACGTTTCTTGTTACAAATGCTAGCTGAAAGGCACTCTGCCTGCTCTTAAGGTGAGGGAAAATATATTTACATCTGCTTATCTTTTGGCACAATCACTGTCAGCTAGCAGGTTCAGGGTGTGGGCTGAACCAACGATAATGATCATGATAAAACTCTCGGCGTTTGGAAGGTAATATAACTGAAACGGGTTCATCAACAGTTTGCTGTGTTTACTCCATCTGTCTGTCTATCTATCTTCAGAAAAACCATCATTTTGAGAGGCGGATCATTTCTGAACAGCCAGACTGTCTTCCTAGTCTCTATCGACTCCTTCGTGTCTGTCTTTATCTTAGCACGATGGCCTCTGAGCATCTCTATATTTGCATTCAACACGTTTTCGTGCCAGTTCGTGATTACATGCGCAGAACTGGGGATGTGCGTCAAGCTCTTCTTGTTTATAATAAAGTGACAGAAAATCATTCAGGGGTCAAGTTTCCCCCCCAAAACTCAACCTGCAGACCAGATCCTGCCCATAGTGGAAACCACACACCTAATGAGGTCATTAAAGCCAAGACTCCATCAATATCTCTCTTTTCCCTCCTCTACCCCACCCCTTTTTCTTTTTTCTTTTTTTTACAAATTTGAAT